TTAACATGTACTAAACATGAGTGCAATGTGCACCGCAGCGGCCCACACCTTGATGCTCACGACAGGAATAGCACGTATAGTTATCTTTATTGAAGTGAATTAGGTTTAAATCGCCGTCATGCATGAATGAATGATATTTTTGCAATTTTACACATAATAATCCACGATGATCACATTACACAAAACTGAAATTGCACGTCAAAATAACACATTGTCAATATTTTTTGAGACCCCCCAAAATTTCACAAATCACATTTTCAGGGGAGCCCATGTCTTATTAAGGGGAGCCTAGCACCCCCTAGCTCCCCCGTAGTTCGCACCCTGATTATGCCACTCAATTAGCAAAAGTATTTGTTGAAATAGCACCCAACTCAGTGTGCACTTCAAGCAATTAGTTTTACATGTAATGCTAAAGCAGTATGTAATTGAACCAACTGAGAATACCAACTGTTGGACAAAGGTAGAATGAGAAAAACAGAAAGGAAAAGAAAGAAAGGAGGACAAAGTGCCCAGTATAAAAGCAAATCACCTCATTTGCTGGAGTAATGGATTTGAGTCCACATACTCACTGATTGGGCTTAATGTTGCATGTTGTTGCAAGTCAGCAAGTAGCTGATGAGGTCTGACATCAAGCTGTGTTGCTCTATCACTCATTCTCTCTCTGTACCTATATCGAAGAGGAATATTCTGCTCCAAATTATGCTTCATATTTGAGGATGGACAAAATGAAATGCAGATAAAAGGACAACGGTCACCTGTCAAATTGGTTTTGTAATTCTAATTTGAACTTTAGAGATAAATGTAATCATTTGAACAAATATTCAAATAACGTGTCCATTCATCAGCAGTACTTGTCATTCCTGATAAGCAATCATGCGTTTCAAGGGCACATCAATTTCCATTCAGCGGGTCTTATTTGTCGTATTTTCACTGCCCTGTCTAATCACTGCTAATATCAGACACTGAGTAATGGAGATATTTTATTCATTCAAACAGTAATAAATAATTACGCATGGGGTAGAAACACATGAATGAATTATCTGTAATGGGTGATAAGTTGAAGACAAACACAATCCTATACTGACATCTTCGTTTTTCTCTGAGAGAAAGGTCCTCTTCTGTGTGGTTCCTGGCCAGAACTGATTTCCTTTAGCCTGCTATGCAAATATTATTTGTACAGATGAAAGTTTGGGACATGATGAGAATTATTGTAATAAATTATAATTGGAATAGAACACTCATGGAAAAGAAAGTAGTTTGTTAATGTTATTCCCAAGGTGCTTGAATAATTTGAGAGCATGTGAGGTTAGTAAACACTGGGGGCATCTATCAATCAATCCTGAGCAAAGAGACCTTACAAACAAATAAATTATAATAATTCAGCCAAAAATTAAAAACTGCTGAACATTTACTGCCCCTCAGGCCATCCAAAATGTAGATGAGTTTGTTTCTTTATTGGAAAAGATTTAGAGAAATTCAGCATTATGTCACTTGCTCACCAATGGATCCTCTGCAGTGAATGGGTGCCCATTTTCAGCTATTTTTTATTTTGAGTGAACTGTTCCTTTAATTCTTGTTAAATTGAACTCTGCGTGCACTTTTGTAACTATTAATATTCAAGTGCTACTTTATTTTAGATCAAAGAAATGTTTGCTTATGGCTATGCTCGTGAGCTGTAACAGTGTGGATCTGCTTTTATACTGCGAAATAGCTAAACACCTATCATTGCTATTCTGTTAATAGTTTCACCAGGGAATCTTTTCATGGTGGCAGTCTCTAGTTTGAGTTTCAGAGCAGCTGTGAGTTATCAGCTTTTTCCTGCATGTCAGTGTTTGACACATCTGGGAACTGTGCAGTGAGCTGATAACTCCCTTCTATCTCCACACCTGCAGGATTACTAACCGGTAATCGTTACATCCCTACCACAAACACAACATTTATCCATTATTTTGATTTCAAATCCAAACATTGTTTCTGAAAATGCTTTTTCAGCATTGTGATTCTCTTTTATCACAGTACAACCTTGTCTATCTAAAAGTGCACTTTTCCTTGTTTTAAATCTAGCCAAAAAGCCACGTGTTGACTGTGAAACAGTAGACTTCAATTATATGCAATTATGGTGTAATTACTAAATTTCTGTGCCAATCCATGTTAATTTTTACTGCGAATAATGCACTGTCACTTTAATTCAGCACGTGCAGCACAGCAGAAATAGATTCCGTGTGGAAACAATCGCAGCATGACTGCTGCAGATGCACCGCTCCTGGAGCGCACTGCCGGACCGCAATCGCATGCGGTGTGAACGCTCTGATCTGTTAACATGGGCGCAGAAAAAATCAGCTCCACAGACGAAGTGTGTGAACCTGGCGTTACGTTTGTATGCTCGCCCGGTCTGTTCTGTTCTTGTGCTCCATTTAGGCGTGCTGCATTCTGATTGGTTCGGATAGCATACTGCGGGAGGTCGGGGGCTAAAAATCGTGCTATAAAGCGATTTAGAAATCGCGCAAGCTCAAATCGCGATTTTATGACACCACCACCAGTAGGACAAGTTCAGTTAAAATGACAAATATGCATTCATTCATGGTTACCAAGTTTTAGTTCTAATCACTATTTCTATCATTAAATAGTGCTTAATTATCATAGTATCATAATATAATGCTTGATTGGCTGAAGTTAAGAGTGCACATTCAGTTATTTAAGAAGCTGGGGGGATGGGGGGTTTGTGCGCTTGCGCGTGCCTCAAAAGGAGGCTTACAATGAATTACAAAGATATATAACATCTTCAAGTGTATGCACTACTTGCTTTATGCAAGCACTATATAGAATAAATCACTATACAGGATTTACCCTATTATACTTTATCGACACGAATTGATAGCATTAATACCATAATTCCTCCGTTCAATTAGGCCTAAGACATAGAGAGTTACGCAGACCTATAACAACCCAGCCACAACACACAATTGCGAATAACATGCCTTACCTTAACACAGAATCGACTAGGGATGCAACGATTATAGATTTTGTTGGTACGATTATTGTCTGAGGAATAATCACGGTTTTACGATTATGACGATTATTATGCATTTATTCATTTCCCAAAATTACTAATGTATAAAATCACATGAACACTCTTTAGATATTAAAGTGTTATTTATTGCTGGCTTTTGAAACCGAAATAACACAGTAACCAACAATACAGCAAAAAATTATAATAAACAAAAGACAAACAAAAGTCCATCTCTCCCATTGGAATTAAAAAAAGGTGACCTCTGCTCTGTAAACATCCATGACAGTATTTCTCTTTTGAAAATAACAAATGGAAATAGATCGCAAAAGTATTTAATGTTTTCAGTTTGTACATTCTTTACATTTCAGCTGTAGCTTCGCGTCAGGTGGTTCTTGCCTTCACGTCATGCATTAAAATCTTTCAATGTACAGCTAGCCGTGTATTAACCCTTCTTATGTATTCGCTCTTTAGCAGCAGTTTTTTACAGCAATATTTAAATGACACCCTGGTCATTCTTGGTGTACCCAAAATGGTCCCACACTATCGACAAGCATTTCTCTGGTGGAAATAAAGCTTCGCTGTTTGGTCCCTCTGTCACAGTTCATCTAATGCATGTAGTAGCCTCCGTGCCTCTGATAAGCACATCATTTTAAGCTGGTGCACCGCTAGTGTAACTTTTTTCGTTTTGCGCAAGCTGCAACAGTTCCGTTCCGTGTAACAGAAACACTCGGTTTAGCGGAACCGTTACGATTAATTAACCGTGACGTTTTAAAGCGCGGTTAATCGCGAAACCGATTAATCGCGAAACCGGTTAATCGCTGCATCCCTAGAATCAACCAGAGTCCAACGTTTATATTTTTTCTACGAATCTTTGAGTGGAAACGAAACATGAGTGGAATTTGCACCGCAGCGCCCCCACACCTTGATGCTCATGACAAGAATAGCATGTATAGTTATCTTTATTGAAGTGAATTAGGTTTAAATCGCCTTCATGCATGAATGAATTATATTTTTTGCAATTTTACACATAATAATCCACGATGATCACATTACACAAAACTGAAATTGCACGTCAAAATAACACATTGTCAATATTTTTTGAGACCCCCCAAAATTTCACAAATCACGTTTTCAGGGGAGCCCATGTCTTATTAAGGGGAGCCGAGCTCCCCCGTAGTTCACACCCTGAGGACATCTATCAGCGTTGCACTCGCGTCTTGCAGACAGCGGCATGTTTAGAAAGCCATGTAAAATTAATGCAAGTTCAACTTTTAAAAAAACATGTCTAAAGACGTTATGGCGGTTTTTCCCCATCCCACTGTATTTCATGTTTTTAAATGAAGAAAGTAGCCTACTCTTTGTGATTGGTTTTCGGTCCTTTGTATTAAACTATACATACATACATCCTACCCAAAGGTAGGACTTTTTGAAAGGTTTGTTTTCCATAGTAATTTGCTCGATGCGCCCTCTTGTGACCTCAGGAGAGAAGCCAAAAGCTTTTTTCCCCCTAACTGAAATTATGCCTTTTAAATTAGAATATAATTAGAATTTTTATAATATTTAAGTAGAAAATTTGAATTTAGTTTGTCATTTTGATAGCCCTAGCGCTAGCACAAGCTGTTAGTATATCTGGTCCTGTGTAATTTTGTATAAAATGTGAAACATAAAATATACAAGACTTTGTATAATCACAAATAGTGTTGGCTTTTTGACGAATTGCTTTTGTTCGTTTTTTGTAAGTCACTTTGGAAAAAAGCATCTGCTAAATGCGCAAATGTAAATGTAATAACAATAACGATAATGTTTTTGTTGTAATTTTTCCCAGAAGTTTTTTTTTTTGGCATTAATGTTTAAACAATTTCATTTAAAGTGCGGTTAGATTTACTGTTGTTGGACGAAATTTCACAAGCAAAATCAAAATTTTGCTAATGTGACCCCGCATTTACAAAATCTGTAATATTCTAAAATAAAATAAGAAATTATTTTTCAGGATCGCAAGTTGTCCAAGTCAGAGCGGCAGCGTTTTAAAGAGGAAGCCGGAATGCTGAAGGGTCTTCAGCATCCCAACATAGTACGCTTCTATGACTCCTGGGAGTCATCCTTGAAAGGGAGGAAGTGTATTGTCCTGGTGACTGAACTCATGACATCTGGGACACTCAAGACGTAAGTGCTTTTATTTGTTCCTGTCAGATTTTTTTTTAATCCATGTTTGTCATCTAGGCCACCTGCTATGATTGATTTGTTTTCGGTGCCCTTCTAGGTATCTAAAACGGTTTAAGGAGATGAAGATCAAAGTCCTGCGCAGCTGGTGCCGGCAGATTCTGAAGGGGCTGCACTTCCTTCATACTAGGTCGCCTCCCATCATCCACCGGGACCTCAAGTGTGACAACATCTTCATCACCGGACCTACTGGATCTGTCAAGATTGGAGACTTGGGTCTGGCTACCCTCAAGAGGGCCTCCTTTGCCAAGAGCGTCATAGGTACGGCTAAGTATTTGCAACTGCATTACCGCCTCCAAATCGAAATCCATTCGAATTGCCCGACTCCGATTTGTGGTTGAGGGAAAAGCAAATCCTTCATTCCATGTTTATTTTCTTCTGCTGCTTCTTTTCAAAGTGTGTTTCAATGACAGTGGTGAGAAAGCAGACCACAGCGTTTCCCTGACCGATTGAACCGCAGCAAACCAGGGCTCCCGATTTATGGAAGTTGTCTCTTGACACCCTCTTTTAGTTCAAACATAGTTTTTGTCTTTTCTTCTGTCCTCATTGCAACAATTTCAGGTGCCCACAGACAGAGTAAGTAGTTGTGGTGCGGTTGTAGGTATTTTGTGACACGTCTGCAAGGAAACCTGATCTGATCATGGGATAACACTAGAGCTAGAGTTGAGCCCTGGGTTGCCAGGTACCGTGAGTGATCTTTTGCTCTGGTTCGGAAATTTGTGGTCTGTTTCTTCAGTCAACCATGATTTAATGATGATGATGCTAATGAATCTGTTAATTTTTTCCCCCCGCAAGGAAATGCTTGTTTTCTTTTAGTGTGTCAGTGTCTGGAGCTCAAAGCCTTAAACTCTCTGCTCATCTCCCTCATACTTTTAGCTTTAAGATCTTTGTGTTTTTTTCTTTGTTTGTTTTTTGTTTTGGAAGCCTTAGGCTCTTATTTCAGGTCTCTCCTTATTCTACTTTAAGGATTATTTAGTGTACTGCAGTACAGACAGTAAGTACGCAGAAATGAGCCTGGTAAGTCCACCAGTATTATGTGACGCATATCAGTCAGAATCATTATCAATATGGGAAGTTTGTCTGTGTGAGACCTTTGTCAATGGGTAACTTGGTTACTAGTTCACCTGGTGCACAGAACCTCACTTTTTTGGTAAGCTATGTAGTGTAATACATTCGAATTGCTCAACCTTTTCTCTTCACAGGTTAACCCAAAGGTAGGACTTTTTGAAAGGTTTGTTTTCCATAGCTAGTGCTTTGGTTTGATCTTGTGATGAAAGCATCAGGCCCTCTGACCACGGACTTGTTATTTGGGCTAACAACCACAAATACGTTGATTTCTTACATTCAGTCTCTATTGTTTAGTCCTGTGGTCAGTCCAGGCCTTTGAGTGAGTGCTGTGCACCAGTTTGGTTTTTCTCATATGCAGTCCAGCCCTTGAAGGTCTTACATGGAGAAACTTGGGCTTCTTATCATTGTGGTCTAACTGAGGGGAGTTTCCCCTTCCTCTTTTTTTTTTTTTTTACTTTCTATCCCTTTTTTGCTTTCCTTCCCTCTACCTCTCTCTTTTCTCACAGGTTATGCTCAAGCGGTCTTCAGCGACAGCATCATCTTCCTCTCACCTCTTCACTGAGAGGTTGTAATAGGGTACTGAGAGAGTTCTGAACCATTCTTTTAATTTAAGGTACCCCTGAGTTCATGGCGCCTGAGATGTATGAGGAGAAGTATGACGAGTCCGTGGATGTGTATGCCTTTGGGATGTGTATGCTGGAGATGGCTACTTCTGAGTACCCGTACTCCGAGTGTCAGAATGCAGCTCAGATCTATCGCAGAGTCACCAGCGTAAGTCCACACTTCACTGGCGGAGGAAAGAGTCCCCACGCACTCATCCTCCCCTTGTTTGCTGCACTATTTTAGTATTTTTACCCCTTTTTTTGCACACTGTGGGGGTGTTTCCTTTCTGCTTTTTTTTCCTCACACAGTGGTAAGTTGTTTTTTTACCTCTACCAGTAAATGCTGAAGCCCAGTCTCACAAAACCAGTAATGACCTAGCAACCTAATGGTATCAAGACAGTTATAAATACAAACTTAAGCCTGAGTAACTCAATGTAGTATTTTTGAGAAAATCTGGCCCCAAGTTCAAACCATCTCCGCTTTCTACATGTGTGACTTGATTGTTTCCTGTGTCGTGTTTACAGGGGGTAAAGCCTGGCAGTTTTGACAAAGTGGCTATTCCAGAAGTGAAGGAGATCATTGAGGGTTGCATACGTCAGAATAAAGACGAGAGGTGGGCTGACATTCACCGAGCATGAGAGTTCAGTTGTTGTTATTGTAAGGTCTAGTTTTCACAGCCTGTTTTTTTTCCTTGTCCACTGGAAATTTGTGGAAAGGTATTTTCAGTGTTTCATTGGTTACACCACAGTATGAAATTCAACATGCTATACTTGCAGCCTTTTTTATTTGTGTCATATGAAATACAGTGTCTGATTTGACTGAGTTCTATGTTATTACCACACAATTAATTATTTAAAAATGTCTTTAATCCAGTTTTATCACATTCAAGGTCATAAATGTCTGCTGTGTCTTTTACATGCATGTTCTTAACCTGATTATGCTTAAGCCAACAATGCATGTGGTTATGTGGTTACGTCAGAATGAGGAGAGATCTCACAAGTTCCCACTGACATTTTGGATGCTTTATTTAACATAAAATACTCCTCTGAGTCAGATACACAAATTATTATGTTTTGATGTCACTACTGAGGAATAAGAAGATTTTTCAAAACATTGCCATAATATTGGTTTGTATGTAAACCAGTTTCCTCCTCTGTTTAATATATTGATATGTTCTCATTAAAATATTGGTACAGGACAGGTCTTCATTTTTATTTGTTTTTTTTGTTTTGTTTTGTTTTTTTAGGTATTGCATCAAGGACCTCCTAAGTCATGCTTTTTTCCAGGAGGAAACTGGTGTTCGTGTAGAGCTGGCTGAGGAGGATGATGGAGAGCTGGTGGCCATAAAGTTGTTGCTACGCATTGAGGATGTAAAGAAACTTAAAGGGAAATACAAAGAGAATGAAGCCATTGAGTTTTCCTTTGACTTAGATAAAGACGTCCCAGATGATGTTGCCCAAGAAATGGTAAAGATACTTGGATTTCTGTTCTGTTACTTAACTACAGATTCAAATCAGTTGATGTTTTGAATCTTTAATTGGTTCATTTTGTTTGGCCTTACATGTAATTATCCATATATATTTATTCTGCATCCTTTCAGTGCGTAAAAAAAACACACCTAAAAGTTCACCTAAAACACCAAAATTCCCCCTGGCCTTCTTATAACATTGACCTGTCATTGCCTTTAAAGTTGAAATCAGAGTAATCTTTTTCCTCAAGGTCGATTCGGGCTATGTTTGTGAGGGTGACCACAAGACCATTGCAAAGGCCATAAAGGACAGAGTGTCCCTGATCTCCCGTAAGCGAGAGCAGAGAAAACTTGTTAGAGAGGAACAAGAAAAGAGGAAGTTGGTGCAGGAGAATGACCCCTCACAACTTGGACCGTATACTAACACCACAGCCAAGCCCCCTGGTCCCGCTCTGGCCTCAGTCATTATTGAGTCTGAAGAACATGAAGCAGACCAGCAACTGCAGCAGCCTGGAGCCTCTGCTTCCAGTTAGTTGTTTTGCTCTAATTTCAATACTTAAAAGTACTTTATAGGCAGGATTGTGTTAACATATTGCCAAAGCATTATACACAGAGCAAGTAATGACAAGAAAAATAATTATACAATATAACAAAACAAAAAAAAGTATTAAAATGCTAGTAATGAATAAAAATAAGATGCACGTATTTGTATGGGAAAACGTTCTGAAAGTCTTATTGTCTCATAAGACCACATTTTGTGGACCCTCAAGGTTCAGCGTCTGTCCCTGAGACTCAGCCTGCCCAGCCAGGTACATCTTTCAGCACCATACAGCCTGATCCGCAGCCACAGCACACCATGACCCATCCACAAAGCATGGTGAGTCATTTCCTTTGTATTTTGTTACCCGTCTTGGTTTTCAAGCAGAGCTAGGGCTGGACAATATGGCCAAAATTTATATCACGATATATTTCTTCATTTCGGTCGATACGATATAATTCCGATATCGATATGAACACTATTTTAAAAAGCCTTGTAAAAACTGCCAAGAACGCCCACAACAGATGTCTGTGCATACAAACTTATGAAAAATTCATTTGCCAAGTCTATGACACCTCATATAAAACCATATAATACTTTAGAAAAAAAAACAGCACAAATAAATTAATGTTCACCTTTTATTTGTATTTAGCCTTCATACAAACAAGAAATGTGAAATCACTGTCAAATAAACATCTCAGACTCACCTTATTAATTATTAATATCTTCTAACATACTATTATGTTAAAAACAGCCGAGTATAATTTTTTCAGGTTTCTTTGATGGATAGAAAGTTCAGAAGAACAGCATTTATCTGAAATAGAAATCTTTTGTAACATAAATGTCTTTATCATCACTTTTGATCAATTTAAAGCATCCTTGCTAAATAAAAGTATAAATTTCTATAATTTCTTTCCAAAAAAGAAAGAAAGAAATCATTCTGACTCCAAGCTTTTGAATGGTATAGTGTATAATGTTACAAAAGCTTTTTACTTCAGATAAATGCTGATCTTTGGATCTTTCTGTTCATCAAAGAATCCTGAAGAAAAAAATACTCAACTGTATATTGATAATCAGCATATTAGAATGATTTCATATTAGAAAGGATCATGTGACACTGAAGACTGGAGTAATGATGCTGAAAATTCAGCTTTGATCACAGGAATAAATTACATTTTAAAATATATTCAAATAGAAAATATTTCTAAATTTTACTGTTTTTGCTGTACTTTGGATCAAATAAATGCAGACTTGGTGAGCAGAAGAGAATTCTTAAAAAAACTAAATTTTTTAATCTTACTGTTCAAAAACCTTTGACTGTAATGTAGGGTGGCTGATTATTGTTATAGATTGAAACAAATGTGCTTCAGCCAGGATAAAGAATATGAAAAGTGCTCTTGAGTTGCTGCAGAAAAAAAGTGACAACAAAAACATGTTGCTGGAGACGGGCTTATTGAAAATTGAAAAACTGATTGTCTGCCAGCAGGAGGTGCATTGAGAGCGGTAGAACTTGTGGTTTCTCCAGTAACGGCTGTAATCAAAGCAGCTCCGCTCATGAACGCTACTTTATCAGATCAAATGAAAATGTCATCAACTTTTCTGAAGACAGTCGGTTCCCTTCAGAGATACATTCATATAAAACACCCGCGCCACGTTTTGATTTTGAAACGTGCAGTGCTCATGTTTATTCAACGAAGTCAAACG